GCACATTAAAACCCCCCCCCCGTTTGCCCCCCCCCCCCAGCACCAAGAAGTCAGAGCATCCCTTGCCCCAGAGTCCCTATCTATACCTTGTGGCTCATAGCCACTGATGGACCTCTGCTCCATATGCTTATCTAATTCCCTTTTGAAGTCGTCCATGCTTGTAGCCGCCATGCTTGTGGCTGCGCCCACTGCACTTTGCTTGGGTTGCAGCCACCGGGAATCGTAATACTTCGTCCCCCTCTCCATCCCCAGGACCGATTCTCCTGGAATGTAGGAACTGGCTCCCCTTCAGACCCGAACAGCGTCAAAGGCATCTTGCCGCTTCATGTTTTTCACACGCAGGAAGCCATTTAATCATAGGACAACACGTAAAATGCTTGTGGCGCGTGTAGGTCTGTGGAATTGGTTTCTTCCTTTTTCATCACAGAGGTGCTTTCCATGTAGGTTTTAAACACTTCTCCCAAGTGGGTGGGTGTTTCCACACAGGTTATTTGCCCTGAGTTCGATGCTGTTGGGAACTGAGTTGTGGGGTTTTTTTCCTTCCTGCTTCCCCATAGTATTAATGCACCTCCCAGGCTTCCCCTGGCTTTTCTCCGGTTATTCTCAAACCAGCTTTGCTCCAAAGTTTTGGGGAAGATCCATGCTGGAAGATCGCAGCAATTTTCCCAGTCCTGCCCGCACAGCAGCCATCCCCCCCCCCCAGTGGTCATTTCCTCTCCCTACCACAAAGGGTTTGTCTTCTTTTTTTTAAAAACCACTGATTTAATAGTGCCGTATCCCAAATCATGCATCGGGTTCCCTGAATTACCAGCTTTCATTAAATAAAACAAAGTTAAGCCTCTAGCCCCCTTTGTTGAAGAAGGAGATGGAGAAAAGCGTATCTGCAACGGAATGGGCTAGAGACTTACTTTAAAAAAAAAATTAAAGTGGGGAACTCAGAGAACTGGGTGTATATTTTGATGTGACGCTATATTGATATAACACTGTTTTGATGTAATCCTATACATCGATACAATAGTATTTTGATGTGATGCTATATAGGTATAACACTATTATTTAACCATTTTTCAAAAACTAATGGGGAAAACTGCTCCTTGGAAGCTCTGTCACCGCTGTGCTGTATTGGCAGCCATATCAGCAACAGGGAAAGTACGCCAAGCCTGTCCCTGTGCGGAAAAACGCCTGCATCTCCTTTCGTAGTCAGCATCTGTATGAGAAGAAGAGTTGGATTTATGCCCCGCTCTTCACTCACTCAGAGCGGCTTACAATCTCCTTTCCCTTCCCCTCCCCACAAGAGGACCCCCCCCTGTGAGGTAGGTGGGGCTGAGAGAGCTCTGAGAGAACTTGTGACTGACCCAAGCTCCCCCAGCTGGCTGCAAGTGAAGAAGTGGGGGATCTAATCCGGTTTTCCAGATTTAGAGTCTGCGCTCCTAGCCACTACACCAAACCGGCAGAAAGGCCAGCAAAACAGAAGGCAGATCCAAGCATGTAAGGAAACTTGGCTGTGTTGCGGAAAGTAATTGCAATGTTCCTTGAGGGCTCCGGGATATGATTTAAATATTCCTGGTGAGAGACGCGGCATCCAATGAGGCCAGCCATCTCTTCCCAGAAGCATGAGAAGATCACCTCATAATCAAGAATGCCTCCAGAGCTGTTTTTGCGTCCTCCTTTCCAACACTAGACTTCCTCAAAGGAAGCAGGAACCTGGATGTGAACCTGGGTTTTTCCCCCCTCAGTTGGCCAAGAACATTCCCATTGTTTTGCAAGCTTTGCATTTCCTCTTTGGTTGCTTATGTTTCTAGGAAGCACCTTTATGGGAATTGGTTCACACCAGGGTTCATATTAGCTGAGGGAAAAGCCTAACTTGGAATTCCTGGTTTTAAGCAAAACAAAAAAAAGGCATCTCGTGCCCCAAGACTTCCTTTTGGTTTCGATGCTACAGGCTAACGTGACTCGCTTCCCTTGGCTTTCAGCAGATTTGAAACCCTTTGGAACTCTTAAGCCGCGGGGGTCCCCAGGGTCTTTGACCCTGCGGACACCTTTGGAATTCTGACACGGTGGTGGGTGCGACCGCAAAATGGCCACCAAAGGAGGCAGAGCAGACCACAGAACGGCCGCCGCAGGTGGTGGAGTCGCATACGTAGAAGAAGCCCCCAAGTGCAGTGGAAGAGAGGGGTCATTTGAAAACGCGCTGGGAAAGTGAGGTGGGAGAGAATAACACAACACACTGTGGTGGCAGCAGCTTATTTTAATCTGCATTGCTAATCAGATCTTCAATGGCCAAACAGAAGCCCTGCTGGTAAAGAGCCCCCCCCCCATTTTAAAAACACTTGGTGGGCACCAAGAAAAGTGTCCCTTGGGCACCCTTTGGAGACCACAAGTTACTTTTTTGAAACTCGGTGGGTATCTTGGGGAGAGGTTCCAGCAGCTACCCTGCAAGTTTGGAGTCTCTCCTTCAAAACCCCTCCCCTCCAACCCCGGCCGAATGGGGCAGAATCAATTTCGGCCGGCAGAAAAACTCCTGCATGTCAATTCCGGCAGTAGAGCTGATTCCAGTCTTTCCACCAGCCGAATGTCAATTTTGGCCCCATTATACCTTATGGGCCATTGAAGTCAATGGTGAAAACATAGGGTATATTCCGGGGGCTGGAGGGGAGGGGGCTTGAGGGAGAGGCTCCAAACTCGCAGGGTAGCTGCTGGAGTCTCTCCTCAAGATACCCACCAAGTTTCAAGAACATTGAACCAAGGGGTTCAATTCAGTGGGCCCCCAGACAGGTTGCCCCTATCCCCTCCATTGTTCTCTATGGTGGGAAGAAAAGTTACTTTTTTGAAACTCAGTGGGTATCTTGGGGAGAGGTTCCAGCAGCTACCCTGCAAGTTTGGAGTCTCTCCTTCAAAACCCCTCCCCTCCAACCCCCGAAATATACCCTATGTTTTTGCCATTGACTTCAATGGCCCATAGGATATAATGGGGCTGATTCAGATCAGAGAATCTGAATCGCTCCGCAGCAGCCCAAAAGGGGCCCAAATGGGCCATTTTGGGGGGTGCATTCAGTTCAGATGAACCGAATGCACATCCCTATTGGGGACCCCTGCTCTAAGGAAACAGTGGAAAACAGATTGGATGTATTGTTACTCCATACAGGATCATCACCAGTTATTCTAATCCTACATTTCTGGTTTTTTGCAATGACATCTATACATAAGTAATCTTTTTGAACGATGCGATGTGTTGAGAAAATACTGGATGTGAAGCTTTATGTATGTTATGTTTGTTGGCGTATTAAATGTGTGTCTGTCTTCTAAGTATAAAAAACCCAATAAAAATAATTTAAAAAAAAAAGAAAAGAAAAGAAAACAGATTGGCAGCTTTTGCCAAAATCTCAGAATGGGTGTCAGAGAGGGACTGGGTAGCAACGTCGAACATTTAAGTCTCTAGTGCCCACACAGGTCTTCATCCTTCTGCCAGAATTAGTTTCCTGTACTCTTTCCTTTTGCCCGACATCTCCAACTCTGTAATTTCCATCCTTCCTTAATTGCCGTTGCATGGGGGGGGGGGGGAACAGAGTTCCGAAACCCCGGCCCTTGGAAGCGGAATAAATCATGATAAATTATGCAATGCAAACAGAGTTTGGGAACTGTCAAGCCAACGTATAGCTTTTGCGTTAACATTTTTCTGTCCCGTTCTACCCCTTCGCCTTCCTCCAGGTTGCCAGGAAATGCCCAGAATGCCAAGCTGATACCAACAGGAGACATTTAACGGTGCCTTACTGGCCAGAACTCCCAGGAGCAAGCCATACAGTGCCAACATCGTCTGCTTAGCGAGGCAAAAACTTGCCCGTGGAAAGGAACCAAGACGCACACTTCCCTTTGCTCCTTGGACTGCTTCGCCTGCTGTCGTCCTTCCCTCTGCTCGTTGATCGTAAAGAGGTCTTCCCCTTCCTCTTGCAGAAGAAGCTGGAAGAGAAGCAGTCTGGGCCTGAGGATTAAACGGCACCAGTCTTTTAAAATATACCTTTTTGTATCTTTCAGCCGCTTAGGCCTGCTATAGTGGGGGGGGGAGAAGTGCGTTTGTACTCTGCAAGTGATTTTTTTTACTGTATTAAGAAAATGAAGATGTATAATGTACAGTGTAATACTGAAACACATGAATAAATAGGATTATTTTGCACCTGTAGCGTAATTGTCATTTATTAGCATCGGTACGATGCTGGGTTCCTAAGGATGCTGACTAGGAAACAAGTCCCACCACTTAGAATTAGGTTGTTGATCTAATTGCTAACTTATTTATTTATTTATTTATTGGACTTTTACCCCACCCTCCCGCCAAGGCAGCTCAGGGCGGCTTACAATAGTTTAAAAACCAGTATAAGAATTGATACAATCTCACATCTAAAAGAGTGCAATCAGTAAAATAACCAAATATAACATATTAGAATTAAAATTACAGTTTAGGCGTGGCGACCATCTGTTATAAAGTGCTGGAACGATCAGTGTGGTCTGGGCTATTAAAACGCTTGCCGGAACAGCTCGGTCTTTACCGCTCTGCGGAATTGGTGGAGATCCCACAGAGCTCGAATTTCATTCGGGAGCTGATTCCACAATACTGGTGCAGCTAGGGAAAACGCCCTTGTTCTTGTCGATGCTAACTTAGCGTCCCCCGGGCCAGGGGGGACCAAGCGATTCTGCAACTCGGATCTCAGTGCTCTTGGGGGAACATACGGGGAAAGGCGGACCCTCAGGTAGACAGGCCCCAGACCATATAGGGCTTTAAAGGTCATAACCAGCACCTTGAAGCGTATCCGGAACTTACACCTGAATAAGTGTGTGTGCACATGAAACCTTACACCTTGAATAAAACTTTGTTGGTCTTAAAGGTGCTGCTGGACTCCAACTTCGTCCTGCCGCTTCAGACCAGCACGGCTGCCCACCTAATTCGATCTAACTTCAGTCGTCGTTCAGATCGGATAGCAGAAATGTTAAGATATTTGTCAAAACTGCATACCTGTCGTGGTTTTTGAAGCGTCCTTGACCGAGAGACTTGACCTTTGAAGTAACACTTGATGGTTTTTGCCTTTCAACGAGGGAAGCGTCCTTGACCGCTCGAGAGACTTGACCTTTGAAGTAACACTTGATTCCAAGTATGAGCAATTCTGAAATTTAAAAACAAATGTGCCTTTGGTCAGAAATGCCTGGAAGATTGGGTGGAGGAGGAGCAGCCGGGTCATGTTCTCTGGGGGGCTGTCCGTGTTGAGATTTCTCATGAGGAAGAAGGGCATGCAGTGTGTCCAGGAGGCAAAGATCACCATGTCATGGGTTGGTTTTGCAAGGCTGAATGTCAGAGAGGGGTAGTCATACCAGTCGGTTATAGCCAAAAGCACACAGAGGTCTTGTGGCTCCTTGAAGACTTAATTTATTGCCTTCCTCTCCCCACAACAGACACCCTGTGAGGTGGGTGGGGCTGAGAGAGCTCTGACACAAATGGCTCTTTTTCAAGGACAGCTGCGCCAGAGCTTGCGACTGACCCAAGGTCACATCAGCAGCTGCGAGTGGAGGAGTGGGGGAATCAAACCCGGTTCTCACAGATTAGACTCCGCACACTTAACCACTACACCAAACTGGCTCTCAGACATCCAAGCGGAACCATCAGAGAATTAAAACATGGCAGTTGGAGGTGTGACAAGATGCAGAAGGTGTCAGGGAATTAAGATCGGGCATCCGCCTTAGCCCTTCAATCAAATCTCTGCCAGATGTTGCTTCGCCAAAGGGAAATTCCAGGAATGTACTGCATTCTGATTCTGTTACCACTAGGGGGCAGCCCCGCCACTGTACAGGTGATAGCCTGCAGAAATTTTTCCCCCAGTGCTTGGAGAATCCAGGTATTATGTAATTCAGCCACCGGTGACATATTTTTAGCATGAAAGCCTCCAGATGCTTCGGGTAAACCGTACGCCTGGAGAGCTGCTTCAGCCATTCCTGTTGTACAAATCTGGTGGGGCATTTCGTGCTTGGCCGAGGACCTTTATTCTTTCCCAGACAGCCACGCAAGTGAAATCTTTGCAAGAATTAGAATGTCCCGGTATTCTGAGCGTGAACAATAGCACTTCT